TACGCCTTTTGCGCCTCATCAACAAAAGCTATCTCGACGTTTGTATTGGAGGTAATTTAATGTTGGTTGATATTTGTTTCCAACGCCATATATTATTCAACTGTAGGAATGCGGCTCTTGCTTTGTCAGTCCTCGTCTTTACATCTGCATCTGATCGTCTTTGTTCATCGATGATTCTGTCCAGGCACGTATGTAAACATTTCCACCCCTTTCAGGGTTTCTCCATCAAGTGTGATTGGGTTGGTGCTCAATGCGTTCTATTTGATGATTTTGCTTTTTCCTATGTGCATGGTGAAGTCTACTACTGCTACACTATTTGTTTTGACCCGATTTTGTTGGTGTGTATGGGATAGAAGTGTTAGATCATCTGCGAAGTCCAAACCATGTAGTTGAACACAACTTGTCTATTTTAGTTCGTACTTCCCTGAGTTGTGGAGGTCTTCATAACCAAGTCATTCACCAGAAAAAGAAAAAAGGGGGGAGTAGGCAGCCTTGTCTGATACCGATCTTCACTTATAATGCGTCTGTCAGCTGTCCTCCACGCAAGACTTTGCACTGTAGTCTGTGGTATGAATTCCGTATGATGTTGATTATGTTTTCAGGTATACCATAGTGTGAAAGAAGTTTCTATTATGTTCTCCTATCCACATTATCAAATGCTTTTTCATGGTCCAGGGAGTTGATGTATGGTGAGGAGCTACATCGACCGAACTGTAAGGAGAGCATATCTTAGATTCTTTGAACATGTTCCAAAAAGTCTTAGAACGAGAGAAAGAAAGACTATGAACAGTGCAATCACCAAACGTCTCCTTGATACAAGACATCAGGTAGATACCTTACAATCCTTTAGGGTGATTAGTAAGCAGCCAAACTACAGTCTTCTGAAGTTTGCTGAAGCCATTGCCATCAGGCGTCAAAAACCTGACCTATGTATTCAAAAGGAGACGGTGGTTAATCTTTCCTTGCCCTGGTGACAAATATTCCTTCACTGCACCATAAAATTTTTTTCTTTTTTCTTTTGCATTTATTACATCATCGACTATTTAATTTTTTCAACTGTCTTTCAAATTAATAATCTTTCAACTGAATTCTACTCACTACATTCCTTCAATGTTATTCATTATGTAATCGATTGTTTCTAACCCACTTTTGAACTGTTGTCACAATTAATGTTGTAGAATATTCTTTCACATTAGGTATATATTTACAATATTTAGTTAGCAATTTAAACCCATTATGTAATTGTGATTTTTAAATATCACAGGTTGTAAGCAGCTGACGAGAACCTACGAAATAAAATGAATTCATGTTGTTCTGCTAGAATCTTTGTTCTTGCTCTTTTCAGAGTTCCATTCAACTGATTGTTCAACGATGATCCGTATTTTCGTGATTTGGTCTGTGTACTAACGACCTTTTGATCTCGAAACTGGGTATCTAATGAGTCTTTCATCCGGTTCGGCAACACTCTTTTAAAATGCTTTCTTTGTACTAACAGTGGTGTGATGCCTCCGTAGTTCTCACATTTGCTCAGATCTCCTTTCTTTGGAATCTTGATGAGGTGTCCTTTCCAGGCCATCGGCACTTGTTCCTCCTTTCATATCTTCCTGGATAGAATATGGAGCATGTTTGAAGTTGCTCCCAAGTCTGAATACAGAGCTTCAGCTGATATATAGTCAAGTTCTACTGCTTTCTCACTCTTGATTTGCCTGATGGTTATCCCGATTCCTTCTATCCTTGTTGGAGTGACATCTATTGGAAGATGTGTGTATGTTCTGCTTCGATATCCGGTGGATTCAATGTAGCTGGTCTATTCAAGAGTACCTCGAAGGTGTTCTTCTCATCTGTTTCTCTGTTCTTGAAATTCAGTGATTGGTTTGCCTTCTTTGTCCTTGACTGGTCTTTCTGGTTTACTATATTTCCCTGCAGGTTGCGTCGCTGTGTCATGTAGTCGATTCATATTTCCTTCTCTTGCAGCTTCATCTGCTACCGTTGCCAGGCCTTCCACATATTTCTGCTTGTTTGCTCTAATGCTTCTCTTCATCATCTTGTTTGTTTCTGTTTATCGGGCCTGTGCCTTGGTTTTTCCTGCTATTGCACGGCTGTTGTTAATTACTGTCTTCTTGTTATTCCTTTCTTGAATCTTGTCCAATATTTCCATAGAGGTCCATTACTTATGCCCAGCACCTCCTGACACGCTGAAGTTGGTGCTTGTTTGATCCCTTTCCAATCGTCCTTCATAGTAGTTTCTTGTTTCAGTAGATCTTGTAATGCTTGGAACGTAGTGTTGAGAGTTATCTTGAATTCGTTGAGTCTGTATGTTGAAGAAAGGCTGTATTAGACCTCTGTAATGCTGTTTTTCCTAATTTGCAGTGTTTCTTTAGCTTCAGTTTCATCTTGGCAATCACAACCAGGTAGTGATCTAAAGCCATTTTAGCTCCTCCTCTGGTTCTCTCGTCTTCAATTATCCTTCTGGGTTATTTTTGTTGTCCACCTTGGGTTCAATGTGTTTCACTTATTCCGAGCATTGTCAGGTTGTATCTACTCATTTCTGTGGCTGTATGGTTGGTCTTCCCAGTCTTCCACATTGTCCGTGCATTCCATGTACCTATATTAATTGATGTCCAGGTTGTTAGAATGCGGATCAGCGTCGTTACTTCCGAAGAACCTTGGCTTTCACGATGAGGCATCATAATTCTTCCTTGAACTCGGAGGACAGAGTTTAAATGTTTTAATTTGTTCATTCTGGTTGGGGTTTTTCGACGAGGTTTCTTTCTACGGAATGGGGTTGCTGACCCCATACCCAACCCTCCTTTACTCGGTCTTGGGGTCGACAGCAACCCTAGAAGAGCTACAGGCGGAGTTGATTATGCATGATTAGCAGTGATTGATGGCGGCTAGCATTTAAATTCAGTACACTTGTTTCATCCTGTCTGTGACTCGTCAGCAGAAGCTATCCGCATCTCACAGCTGATGTTCACTCCAGGACTGGAACTCAGTACCTTTCTCTTCAAATGTCATAGCGTTGTTCACTCAGTTACTGAGTTGAAATAGCTACTAAAAGATCTAAATAACCATTATATAGGAATGTAAATTCAGTCGTTCACTATCTGGACTCAGTTTTAAGTGGATAATGCGACGGCGTTTGAAGCAAAAGGTACTGGGTACGAGTTTTGGAGTCAATATTATCTCGGATGAATGTACATTTAGCTGACGAACTTCAAATAAAACAAAATGTGCATTTTGGATTGCACTGCTAGACACTAACCGTCTCTTTACAGAACCATATTGTATTTAAAAATAGTTGTCTTGGGTGACAGTACACAACAATGACTTTCCAAACGCCTGTTTAGTTGGGTCATGCCACACATAACCAAATGAGGTTCTTATAATATATGAGGAATTACAATCGAATAATTTTGGCAGTGTGTATAACTGAAACATAAGCATTGTAATGAGGTGAAAACTCTCTAGCTCAGTTTTATTGACTAATCACGCATACGTGTTTTGTTACTCATGTTTCGATCGGCGGCTCATATGTGCGAATTCATCCGAAATTATTGTAGTTCAGGTAGCTATCTTGCATCAGCAACCATTATCAAGATGCCGGGGTCATAACCTAGGATACGGATCTGTGCATATTTAACTTTTGACTTATTTTCTGTACCTGTATTTCGGTATTGAACCTTCTGACAATAATATTTAGCGAATAAATATGTGAATGAAAAAAAGAAGCAAATTATGTAGGATATGTTGGAATAATATATATGTGTAACTTTGCTGAATGTTTTCAGCTGACTGTATATTTAAATAAAACCAGAACAAATATAAATGTAGAATAATATGAATTCATTATATTTCATGGTTTCTCATCAGCTGCTCATGATCAAATATGTGTTAAAAGTTTACAGTGAGGTAAGATATAATATGAAACAATTGACATAAGTGAATGAAAAGAATTGGAATTACAAAGGTTATTAATAATAACTATATATATATATGTTGTAAGAAGCTGATAAGAAACCGCGAAATATAATGAATCCATATTATTCTCCGTCCATGTTTGTTCTGAGGCCCAGGACAGAGTGGGTTGAAGAATGCTGGCCGGCGGCCTATGTTCCATTAGGAGTAACAGGCGTAAGTAAGTAAAGTAATTGTTTGTTCTGGCTTTATTTAAATTCATAAATGTAATTAATTACATGACTGTATATTGTCAACTTTACTTAACCAGTCATATGGTTCAGATACTCTACATTTATTCCAAAATATGTATTATATAACAGAAAGTCAATTCAGAAATAATATTTCATCTATCTACCGGTGTTTTTGCTCTTAATTTATCAATATATGAGCTTCACTTTGGGCTTAGGAGTGACGAGTTTTGGGATTTAAAACTTCAATGTCAGACTAGAAGTCCTCATCTAAAATGAATAAATAAGTAGTCGAGACTAATTTGTTTGGTTACTTCGATTATTAGTTGGGTGCCAACGCTTATATATTATTTGGAAATGAATCACTAACATCTACTGTTTTTAATTTTTAGACTTTAGTTTTATTGTTAATAGAATCCTGATGGTCGATCTCAGGATGTCGAACTTCTGAGATAACATGCCTCATACTTAGAAACAAGTATTCAAATTTAGTGCTGGATATACTCACCATCTATTTTTTTGTCAATTTAGAGCTCAATCTCAGTACAAATAAGGCACTATAAAATACTTAATATTACAGATGAGGCTATAGGATAAAACGTTAAACTCTTAAAGGGAGTATTATTTACATCGGAACCACTTAACTTGGTCTTGATGGATTCTTTTCTCATCCGTATTCATTGTATTTTAACAGTTAACCAGATTTCCTTGCTTTTAGTGTCAATATGTTTGGTAATATTTCAATGTATGAACTGCTTCTAGATCCTAGGTCAACCAAATCAATCTCTTTCTATTTAACTAGTTCTCGGTAAAAGATGTTTCTTGGGTTAGCGTTTTTTTAGCGAGTTAGTTTTCTACGGGATGGGGTCGCTAACCTTATGTCCAACCCTCCTTTGTCTGGGCTTGAGAACGGCAGTAGCCTCAGAGGGGCTTCAGGCGGAGTTTGTTTTTGGGTACTCAGCTCAAAAGATGGTCTATGTGTATCTTATCACTTTGAAAACTTTTAGCCGGTTTTAAATATGTAATGACTTCATGTCAGTTTATGAATTGTTGGTATTTTCATTGTTCAGGTTTTTTTTTAACAGAAAAGTAAATATCTATTCATATCATGGATGAAGTTTGTTCCACTCAACCTACTGACTTTATAAATAATAATGTAATCAGTAAACCAATCGATAAGGTATTCACAATGCATTATGGTTATGTTTGATAAAAATCACAGGTTCCTGTTTTAAGTGTTTATGCATCTGAAAAGAAAATTATGGAATATCCACTTGTGAAAAGTGAGTCTTCACCGTTTTTTCAAATATTTAATCGAATCCTTGTTTAGAGTATGTAACTATTGGGCGAGATCCAAAATGTGATATATGCATCAAATCTTCAGTGAGTGATTTTCTCTTTTTTTTCACTATTTAGAACCACTTTTTAAAGTACATATTATTAATACTTGTAAAGAATTGAGGAGTTAATAAATAATCCCCTTTGGGCAATAATCTCCGAAGATATTGTTGTCCAATCAATACACACACTCGATAACTGAATAAAAAAAGAGCATCAAACGTAAATGACCAGTCAGTCAGCTACAACGTAGGACCAGGCACATATATGCATCGGTCCAAGTTGCTATACCTAATTAACACAACAAGATGAACACCGGATTCATAAAAGTAGTTAATTCAGTTGTGGTAATATATAAAAGAAAGATCGCATATGAGGGTATATTACAGGAAGTAATAATTAGTTGGTAGAGAGAAAGATATGAGGCGATTTTAATCTCATAGTCTAAGGGAAGACAGAGAGTGCATACACCGACGCCATTGTGATCGATTCTGCCATGTCTCCAACCATTGGTTATCATAGTCGCGCGGTCCACAACCAAGTAGTCAGCAAACTGATGCCACATTTTGGTTTGGCTGCCCCTAACTTTCTTCCAACCATCCCCAACACTAGTCAACATTACGCGTCGTGGTAATCCGTGTTCAGGTAAATGACCAGACACCGAGTTTAAAAAAGTTAGTAGTTTTTAAAAGTATTTTTTATTGATATTGTAAACTAGATCATTTATTTATTTATTATTAGCTTGATTCAATGTTATATTTTCGGTACATTATAGAATTCTCAGCACAAACTATTTCAACAAGTTTCCGTTTCTTACTTCTTAATCGATATTGACGGTAAATATTGAATGATCGCCAGTTAGAAGTTAGCAGTCCAGTCAATCGACATCGAAATAATGTACATTCTGTTCGCTGCATATTACCAGGAACCATGATATCTCTGATTGGGCCTTTTGTAACAACGAAAGGTTGTGCACTTTTCAAAAACGCACTTGAATAGGTTATGCGATTAATAGCCATAATGATATATTAAAACAAACAAAATTAGATAACTTATTGAAATATCTAGATGGCCGAAACAGGTTGCTCAGATGTTCAAGCAGGCCGCCAAGATATGTAGCATTCAGACGGATGACTAATAGTAATAGCCGTTGTTTAATGAACGAAGAACTGGTTGGTGTAAACCATTTTACTGTATTATAGAAAACCATACCTTGTTCCTAAATTATGAAACCAACACATTAGATACACTATTTGCCTTTCTTGAGGTGTATCTCACAAAATACATCGTCCTTTCATTCATGTTGTTATTTCGATTACTTTCCGTTTCCATTTCTCTCCATTTTCCTTTTCTGTCGTCAAAAATTCTACTTTCAGTTCCCGTCATATACTACTTATATCCGTCCGTACACGTAGTATACACCACATTAGTGGCAAAACGTACGGAAAGTATGATTTAAAAAGGAAAGATGAAAAGGCTTATATGGAAACTTAGAGTCCAAGGGAAGCCTAATGGTGAATATATTTGCTCTCTTCCTGTAGATTGTCTCCGACCCCTAATCGTACGAGAACAAAAAAAAGAAAATGGGTTTAATTTGTTTTACTTGAACTGTAATCGTTAGTTCATACTATGTGAAAGAAATATAGGACTACATTAACCAACGTTTAAGATGCATTATTATAATAGTTGAGGGTTTATCACTGTTCCTGTAACCATGGTGGTCACATTTTTGCTTTTTGATTTCATATGCTTCTGATAATTTCAATGAACTTGAAATATCTAAATTACTGAGCAGCCCAAATACAGTTTCCATGTTTGAAATGTAACACGTGTTGCGTATGCCTGAACACCGATTATCACGACGCGCAATGCTGACCAGTGTTGGAGACGGTTGGAAGAAAGTTAGGGGCGGCCAAACCAAAACGTGGCATCAGTCTACAAAGTCACTAACTTCTGATGTGAGCCATGTTGGGAGATGCAGACTACTTGGTTGGGGTTCGCGTGACTATCGTAACTAATGATTGGATGATGTGTTGATGCAATAAGCATATAATATATTCATCTTGTCAAAATTGGTATAACAGGTTCTTATTACTGACTAACTGAGTATCTTTACTATTTTCATGAATACTTTTTCTAATCTTATCTTTACTTATGGTTTTGGTTTTTAAGGATCTTATATGCATTCATATGATAAAACTTACTATACTTTTTATTTATTTATTTAGTTACTTTCAAGAGAACATGCAATATTTGAATTAGATGAAAATTATATTTGTACTATAACAGATCTTGGTTCATTAAATGGTACAAAACGTAATGATTTACATTTAAAACCTAAAATAAATTATGAATTAAGAGATGGTGATTGTTTGTATTTTGGTGGGATTTATTGCACTTTGAATTTTTGTCTTTCTTCATCTACATCATCGTTATGTCTTCTTAATCCACTTCATGAAGATTCAAAGTCACTTGAACTATCTTTACAGGTAAGGTTTTTTTCTAAATATATGTACTATATGAATTCACTTGATATTGTTTTACTTGAATTTTCCCATTGATGTTTTTGGACTGAAATTGATCAGTCTCTTATTGGCATATGTGCATACTGTGCGTATGCCTCGATATTGCCTAAATTTACAAGCATTATAAGCAAAGATGGATAGTGGCTAGCAGTGGAATCCAGGACGCGCGTTTCGTCCTGTTTGGGACTCGTCAGCTGGATGTACCTGCATCTCAGAGTTGATGTTCACTCTGGGACTCGATGGTTTAAAGATATTATATTCGATCGAAATCTAAATAATCTTTGAATTTTTAAAGTTTGAATTACAAGGGGATCTTAGTCAGAATGCCACTGAAACCTAGAAACAACTGGATAATTGTTTTGTCAAAGTGTGAAACTCCTCAGCAGTGCACATCCACGACAGTGCAAGCGGGACCCGGACCCAGGACCTTGAAATTACGCACGAATACTTAACCGCTAGACCACTAAACCGACATCCAACGGTATTGATATACAGCTTCAACCAATTCGCTATAATGCACAATCCTCATCTGTTGCGCTTGGTATGTAGCTGTCTAATACCTGGCACGGATCAAACAATAGTAATTGGCTCTGGAAGCTAGTTCGTGATTGTTAAATAGTCTCGAATTAGGGCAAGAAAGAGCTGTTCAATGTCTTTTTTCAACAATTCCACCAACTGATATGAATTCTTGAAGAAAATACTTCTATTTTAAAATTTGCACATTTGCTTGGAAATCTCAAGATTTTTCTGAATTTTTTGAGTGAACTAAAATTATTTGAGCGAAAGAGAAGGATTTGTGGTGTGTTTAGCAACCCCGCCTTTAGAAACAAAACTTACTGAAGAAGTTAGTTATAAAATTCATTTAAACCATCTGAATTCTACCGTGGGAGTCAGCGAGTTTTTATGTAGAAGAGCTACGAGGCCTCATGGTAAAAGCCGAGATTCTCCAGAAATCACGAATCCAGTGTCTCTTCTGATAACCAGAGTTACAATTAATATGAAGTGTTTGAACAGTGTAAGAGACCGGGAGGGTCATTCAAATAGCGGCGGAAATGAGAAGATACAATATGACTGTGCTTTGAGTAAGTGAAGTTGGTTGGACATAATCTGGACAGGAATGTTATTTTATTCCGGTCTTTAGAAAGAAAGTGGCCCCCGCCACAACAACAAAAGGTCTTCCTTGCAGATCCCAGCAAGCTCAGTAAAACGTTTTTTTCACACTTTTCACCTTTTCTGTCGTTCAAGTTGTCATGTAGATTTAGCCTGGGGTTATTAGAAGGGTTTAGGAGACCGATTCGAGTGTCCAGATAGAAGACTTATCATAATTCATCAAACGTATTCATTGTTTTGGTAGTCAGGTCATAATGAATCGTCTTATCCACACTCTAACTTGTGTATACTTGTAAATAATTGTCATTGATGGCATTCGATGATCTTTACTCTTTATTGCAAATTGACTGAAGCTGGTGCTGTACTAGCGTTCGCTTCTGAACCTAAAGGTCCTTGATTCGATTACTAATGGGGTCATTAGGTTTTATTCTAGGACGAAACAACTGTACAGTGCCCTCTTGTTCGAAATGGTACCTCAACTGAGATCAGTCTAACGAATACAACTTAAGAATTTACTTAATCCCTACAAAACTCCAACCATACTTTGAATAATCTATTCCCGCCTCAAGTTATTTTGTCATCGTTATACATTGCTATTAATTATTCCATAGTTCTGAAGAATTCTTTGCAGTGGTTAGATGGTAATGATCTTTGATGTTAGTTCATGGAAGTGTTCTTTTGAGAAATTTCAGACAAGATTGCAAACAGTTATCCAATTCCCACCCTAGTTTTTTAGTAGTTACTTCACACTTCCTACGGTTAATATCAGTTTGTAATGTGAACTAATATTATTTGAATTATTGATTTTTAGAAAACTAATCCGGATACATCTTGTCAGCTTCATTATTCCCAAAAAGAAAATCAATTATCTGTTCAGTCGAATTTTTCAACCAAACAGAAATGATGATGATAATAATAATAACGATGACAGTGATTGTTCAGTTTTTAGTGAACGTCTTTTAGCTGAAATTGTTGTAAATACTGGTGAAGTTTCACAAGATTTATTGCCAAATCCCAATCGCTTCATTGATAGTTATTCACCTTCTTTATCAAGCAGTACAGATTCAGATGTTAAAAAAACTGAACTCTTAAAAAATGAAAATGATGATATTAATCTGTTACAACATGAAATGCATGAAAGTTCATCATCAGTTAAAAATTGTAAACTTCATATGTATACTGAAAATGATGTTCATTTAGAAAGTGAATCATACCAAAGTAGGCTAAAATTTGTCGTTTATCATCTTTTGATTATTTACTTGTTGTATAGCAAATTAGTTTATTTCTGTTTTAACCCGAGCTCCCAATTTTGGTGAAAATTTGGCACATTTTGAGGAAATGGCACAAAAGCTCCAAAATTTCCCCAGACCTGGGGAAATCCCCAAAATTGGGAGCTCGGGAAATAACATTCTATTTATTTATTATTTTATTTGCAATATAAAATGTCACAAACCTTTTCACTGATACTTTCATACCCGTCGAATAGGTTACTGGCTCTCTGAACTCAGTAAATTATCAGATAATGTGTGCTAGCATTTGGAATAAAAGTTATACTGGGTTGGAGTCTTAGTGGCAATCGCCAATACTGGAGAAATGACAATAGATTGAAGTAATAGACGAAAGATCGCTTGTTTAATCAGTCAATATTGTTTTCGATTAAATCATCATCAGGCTTTACTCTAATATACACTAATATTTATATGCATATACGAAATTATTAAACCAATCAAGACAGTTTATGAGTCAATGATAACAATGGAATAGATTACATAAACAGGTGAAGAGTACAAATTAGTACTGTGGTGACAGGTGTGCTAGTTGTGATAAGAATATTAAGGAATTCACTTGGTATTGTTTGGCTTGTATCTTCCGATTGAAGTTTAAAACTGCGATTGATCAGTCTGGTATTGGCATACGTGCATACTGTGCGTATGCCTCGATATTGCCTTAATTCACAAGCTATTTGTAAGCGATGATGGATAGTGGCTAGTAGTGGAATCCAGGACGCGCGTTTCGTCCTACGCACAGTATGCACATATGCCAATAACAGACTGATCAATTGCAGTCTTAAACATCAATGGGAAGATACAAGCCAAACAATATCAAGTGGATTCAAATTCACCCCATTGCACAAGCAAGTGACTATCAGGACTCAGTAGCTGAATGGATTACGCGATGGTGTTTGAAGCGAATGGTACTGGGTTCGAGTCCCAGAGTGAACATCAACTCTGAGATGTAGGTACATCCAACTGACGAGTCCCAAATAGGACGAAACGCGCGTCTTTGATTCCACTGCTAGCCATTATCCATCACTGCTTAATGATAATAAAGGCTTGAACCAATGTTACATAATTGGAAATAGGTCAGTGATTAGAAAAAATATAGACACTGAAATCACATTACGTAATAAGAAGATTTCATATAATCGGAACGTGAAACGTACATTTGGGAGAAAAAATAAAATAGTAGGAGGCGGTGAAGAAAAAAAACTATAATAAATAAAATCATTTATCAAGGCCAAGGGAAAGATAAGAAGGGTGTTACAAATTTCTTATGAACACAAAGACTTGGATTGTTTACTCGAATTCCTATAGCGTCTGATATGTTTAAGAGACGAGATCGAATACCATAAGGAAAACTAATAGGAATACGATAAATAAGTTTAAATGACTTATTTCTGTATACTACATGACCACTATCGATCAAGTGTGGTAGAACCGAGCTACGTATTGACTTGACAGAACCTTTTCCTGACCACAAAGGGAGGTGTTCACTAACTCTTTTGTTCAGTTGTCTGGTAGTGTGCTCAACATAGCCTTCTCCACAGGAGCAGCTGAATTAGTAAATACATATAGAAGTGGCATAACCAGGTAAATTATAGTTTAATTGGGGAATCACCATAGATCGGGTCAAGTACGATGGATAGACAGCCTATAGACTGACTAGAGCAGTGAAGAGAACGTTTAATGCAGCCAACTTCTGTCTCTTCAATCATAAATCTCTGATGTGTAACACAGTTACCCATACGTTAAAGGATTTTCCGGCACAACTTGTAATACCTATCATTTCTTTTTCTTTTACAGTTTTACAGTCAATGTCTTTCTAACTAAATAATAACACGATTTTGTGCTCGGATTCCTTTCATACGTTTGATTTCAATTGTAGAAATTCAGAAAATTTATTGTATGAGGTTTTTGTTACACTGAATAATGGATATGTGCTTTCAACCTCATTGATTCTAAGATCACTTCTTCTGTTATATCATTTTGCTGCATGACATATAGTCTATATGCTAAAACTAAACAGCTGAAGTAGTTCACTTTAAGTGCATACATTCAATTGTCAATACACTGTGTTGTATTTGAGGATAAACATGGAGAATGTAAGCATTAAGAAATATGCCGAAATTACCCAGCTTCTATTTAGTGATAAATAAAATGAAACATTTTCTCGAATTGTAATAAAACATGCAAAGATTAAGCGATAAAAGAAGCTTACATTAAAATAAATAACATTTGACTTGTTTGTAGAAAATCATCGATTTCATGGTGGTCCCCCTTCACCGATTAAATAGTTATTTCTAACAGTTGAGATCATGAGTCAATTGAAGCTAGACCACCATGGAAAACCTGGAAGCACTGGACGGCTGTTTCGTCCCATTATGGGACCCCTCAGCAATGCGCATCCATGACCCCGCCCCGCGGGGTTCGAACCCAGGACCTGTCAGTCTCACGACGGGCGCTTAACCAACTAGACCACTGAGCTGGCCAGCATCCGATGGTGTTAATGTCTAACTTCGACTAATCCACGAAATTGAGCGCCACTGTACACCATTGTCATCACTGAGTTACTATCACACAACAGATCCGGTTGAGCCCCACTGGTCACTGCTCATGACTCATGATCTCAACCATTAAGATTACTACAATCTCCACAAAACCCCTTCTGAAATAATTAATTATAAATAATACAAACAAGTTTCATAGGGTAAATGGTTAACTACATCTACTATATGAAGTTGAATAATAGTGTGAGATAATAATAATAGTTGTGAGATAGTAACTCACTGATGACTATGGTGGATGCATCGCTCAATTTCGTGGATTAGTCGAAGTTAGACATTAACACCGTCGGATGCTGGCCAGCTCAGTGGTCTAGTTGGTTAAGCGCCCGTCGTGAGACTGACAGGTCCTGGGTTCGAACCCCGCGGGGCGGGGTCATGGATGCGCATTGCTGAGGGGTCCCATAATGGGACGAAACAGCCGTCCAGTGTTTCCAGGTTTTCCATGGTGGTCTAGCTTCAATTGACTCATGATTTCAACTGGTGAAGTTATTTTTAGTTGACTTAGTTACACATTTCCGTACTTATTTATTTTGTACATGGTTTAAGCATATGATCACGCCTTATAAGGTAGCACTACTTCCCTAATTCGTCATAAGCTTACTACATAGTCTTTCCAACTTTTCTATTGCAAATTAATTATTTTTTGTATGAGACACTTTTGTACACATATGTAGTTTATGAATATTCTTAAGTTCTTGAAGTCACTGAATTCGATATATAGTTTTCTGCTTGTTGTACCACACTTAACAAACCTTTAACCATGTTTAAATGCATCATCAACCTAACTATTACTCTGTTAAAGGTTAACTGTGACGTTGACAGATAGCACGGCATTTGTCAGTCATGATTAAATGTAAAAGTGGTTGAACTACTTCCTGCAGTAAAAAACCATGTATTTTTTTCTACCGTCTCCGACACAACATCTTTTCTATTATTGAGGCTGCTTGTTTTCTTAATTGTTGTCTAGCAAAAAAATAATCTTTCTTCAACTTACTGTAAGGAAGCTGTTTGATGAAATACTTGTCTATTTCTTACTCTATGTTAACTAAAGTTGAATATATCAAATAATTGAAAGTAATCTACCATCATAACTCATTTATATTGTTCTCTTTGGAGGAGATTCCACAAGGCATTCCTTAGACCCTAACAGAATGCCCCTTAAATGATTAGTCAAGATGTAAAGTATCTTTTGGCGTCACGGAAAGACTTTAGCTGCACTACTATTGGAATTTCTCCCTATGCGAGGCTTAAGGCTTTGATTTCCTACCACTGGTAAGGTAATGCTATGTGCACTGATGAGAGGTCACATGGTAGAACAAATATAGCTATCCAGTTCTCTCTGACTTCCAATGGTCGTTTGGTTGCGATATAAACTTTAGTCAAGTTGAACACTTTCCATAAACCTTTCATCCTAATGAAAAGAGATACTTTTCTTAACTATTTAACTAGGATATCTCTCAAATAATGTTTATCATTACAGAGATATCTTATGATTTTCGCCCATACTTTAAATAATGAATGCAGTGTAAGACCAAATTATGTTTCACTTTTTTTTAAAGATTCATCAACCACAGAATCTGTCAGGAAATCTAAAGGTTATATGATTGATGCTACTCCATTGGAATTGTTGACTAAATCGATTAAAAATCATCTTTCATCTAGTGATGTTGTTTCTGCTACTCCTATGATCCTAACAAACGAAACAGCTTCAACTCCTTTAACATACAATCGAGCAAACGTCCTACTTGCACGAGACTCTGATCCAGGTTGTATTGTTCAATCAATGGATAATCATTTCGGATTGACTATTCGTTCGTCTACTTGTTTGTCTGCTGAAGAGTCAGTATTTACTATTGAGGAGAGTGATCTAGTGACAAGCAATGCAGCTAAAAGGTATTTTTAAAATTTTTTTTCAGACTGGTTTCTGTTTGTTATTCTGAATTATTCAGAGCTATTTTTTGTAGTAAACAAAGTACTAAATATACTTAGACCAGTTAAGGTAAGGTAAGGGTTAGAGTGCTATTGTGAGATGGCGACATACAAATCAGACATCTCTCTCACTCCATTGATGGATTGTAGTTTATGTCAATGAAGTATCATCCTGTCCCATTGTCTGATTGTAATTCTTAGTTGGACTTTGTGTATCTGGGCTCAATTGACGCGTAGTATCGTGATCTATTATTATCTAGTTTACTGATCAAGTGATCTAGTCTTCAGTCTATTAACTCATATCCTCTAATCTTCCATCTGTGTGATCGTAAGTTTCAACATAACTTTCCTCTATATTAAATTTACATTATCGATCGAGTTCACTGCCTTCATATATAACTCGCGTTTATTACTTTGTTATTCAGGAAGCACTTATTTTCCTGATAGATTGGACGTTTCTACTTATCACGTACTATTGTTTCTTTTCTAGCATAGATGAAACCAGTGGACCTGAAAAAAATGAACTAATTCTGAACGGGTCAGCTGTTGATTTAAATAATAATAATAATAATAATAATAATAATAATAATAATAATAATAATAATGGGTTCACTTCAAATTCCGATCGTCAATCTACAGTTCAACATGTGAATGAATCAGTAATAAGTAATGATTCCTTGCAAATTGTAGTTGATGATAATTACGGTTCAAGAAAATCACGAATATTTAATGGTATTTGTCCAGAAAAAGAAGAAAATATACAGGTAGGATGCTTTATGTTTTCATTTAAAATAAGTTTTTGTTGTTGGAATTTGTTCAGTTCAATGGCATATTTATTCATTATGGACCACTGACATTATCTGGTAGATATTTTTGTTCATACATGAGAGTGGATTTTTGGGCATTGATCTCCTACCAGGAGGTCCACTTATCAACTTACAATACGCGGATGATATAGTCCTGTTTGGTGAAGACGCTGATAAAATGCAGAGTGTTTTGGTAGCACTGAGTAACAATGCCAGAATGTTTGAAATGCGCTTCTCTCCCTCTAAATGCGAGTTGTTGCTCCCGAACTGGCCTGCATCAACACCTGAACTAAGGATAGGGAGTGAAGTAGTCGAACTCGTTGACAACTTCACTTATCTTGGCAGTCTGATCAGCCCTAATGGGTTGGTGTCTGACGAAATCTCAACACGGATTCGAAAAGCTCGTTTGGCTTTTGCCAACTTGTCTCATCTATGGCGAAGGCGAGATATCCGTCTATCAATAAAAGGACGAATATACTGTGCGGCAGTTCGTTCTGTTTTACTTTACGGCAGCGAAACGTGGCCATTAAGGGTAGAAGATACTGGAAAGCTACTAGTATTTGACCACAGATGCCTTAGAAATATTGCTGGCATCTGCTGGGATCATCGGGTAAGTAATAGTGACATTAGACACCAGGGTATTAGGGAATGATGGTAAATCAGTTGATGAGGTTGTGAATCTTCATCGACTGAGATGGTTGGTCCACGTATTACGTATGCCTGAACACCGATTATCACGACGCGCAATGCTGACCAGTGTTGGAGACGGTTGGAAGAAATTTAGGGGTGGCCAAACCAAAATGTGGCATCAGTGCTTGAAGTCACTAACTTCTGATGTGAGCCATGTTGGGAGATGCAGACTACTTGGTTGGGGTCCGTGTGACTATCGTAAACAATGGTTGGAGACTCTTGGTGACATGGCTCAGAATCGATCACAGTGGTGTAGGTGTATACACTCTTTGTCTTTCCTCGAACCGTGAGATCGAAATTACTTTTCACCTTTCTTTCTACGAATTGACTTCCTCCTTGTATCATATTCTTATATACAGTCTTTATTTTATATATTACTACTATTGAAGTAACTACTATGAATTTGGTGTTCATTTTGTTGTGCTAACGAGTTGTGAAAACTTGGACCGATGTATATATGTGCCTGGTTCTACGTTGTAGCTGACTTACTGACTGAGATGTCTAGTAAAATTGCCTTTATATATATAATATTCCGTAATGTTGACTCATTTTTGTTATCCTACTTGGTAATCATTAGTAAGGTATAACATCGGTTTTCAAGAAATTGATACTCTCTGGTGGGATTGAACCAAAGCTACTCAGTTTTACTGTCTAAGAGATACTGTAGTGAACAGAATATGGGTGGGAACAAGCGAATCTACTTAACACAACATTCAGAGCATCTCAATAAAATCTGAGAACCATATATCAAAACGTTAATTTGCAAAATGTCTACCAATTGTTTCAAAAATGCCTCAGACTTCATTGTCTTTGCATTTTCATACAAATTGCATTCTATTTCCGCTCTTGCTTTTCCCATCTTCTGCTGCCAGACATTACATTCCCAGATCGCGTCATATACTACTTATATCAATATAAGTAACACGCACCACAATACTACCACTGAGCTATTGAAACATTAACTGGCCCCTATAGGATTTGGATATTTAACAATAATTAATTATCACTGATTATTGACCAATTTTATGTTTGTCTAGTTCTCTTTTTCTCTTGTTATTGTTTTAAATATTTTTCAGGTGAAATCGACTAACTTGTGTACAACACAACAACTCCTACTACTACAATTATCAATAATAAGAACGAACATTGTGGCTTGATCACTGTTAACGATCATGATATTGTTTGTAATAATATTACAGTAACATTACAGCCCTTAGAAAATCTTCAAATTTTTCATTATGGTATACAAAATCAAGATGATCAATTTCTTAATAACAGTAGTATATCTAATAAAGATCAAAATATTCACAATGATTCACCTTTTAAAACTAATGAAGTTAGTTTTATAATTTTTATTATTGTCATAGCTGCTGTTTTATCAGTATAAGGTTTTTGGAGATTATTAAGTTATTGATCGAGATCTTGGACCGATTGATATTAAACCACCGTTGAAAACCTGGAAGCACTGGACGCTCGTTTCGTCACATTGTGGGACTCCTCAGCAGTGCGCATACACAACCCCGCTCGCGAGATTGAAACCCAGAACCTTCAGTCTCGCGCGCGAACGCCTAACGACTAGACTACTGAGCCGGCCGGCGTCCAACGGTGTTAATGTCTTACCTCAACCAATCCACAAAATTACGCGATCATCAACCTCATTACAATGGAAGATGGGTTCGAATCTCGCGGGGTGCGGGATCGTGGATGCGCACTGCTGGGGAGTCCCACAATAGGACGAAACAACCGTCCAGTACTTCCAGATTTTCAGTGGTGGTTTGACACTGATCGGTTCAAGATCTCAACCATTAGCTGCCGTTTGTTTGTTGCTGTTGTTTTTTCCCGCCGTTTTTCTTTACATCTCTTCGATTAGTATGCATTTTCCTTCTAACTATTCATTGTTCAGACGATTACTGTCTTCGGAGTATATGATTTTAGATAAATATTTAAGTTTAAGTAAAAATTTCTCCTCGAAAATCACTCCAATTTTTGCCAACCCAACCAAAACCTATTAAATAAATCATAGTTGTACAAGTACGATATTGAGCTTGAATAGCAAAACAACAACGTAAATGATAAGGTTTAGAAAGTATTAGTAAACAGCTGTCTGGTACATCTCAATATTGCTCGTTCATAAAGCAACGGTATTCAAGTTCTTTTTGACAAGCTCTGTTTTTTTTATTCACTTAGTTGGTATTCAATTCTCCATATTTTTATTTTTAGTCAGTTTGTGGGATAACATGATACTACACATTCTGTTTTATTTATCATATATTCGCACCTCCAGCCTAGTTAGATCCACAGGTTACTCACTGTTATCCCCAAATGAGTCTTTTGGAAATGATTTTATCACTTAATCTTATCACAGACTATGATACAACAATGTTTTACCACTTACTGTCACCCTTTTTAGGTGGAAGTTTATCATAATAATTAAAATTTTTTGGATTATCCTGTTTGATATTTATCTTATTACACTGGGAATAGAAGTATTTAGGCTGTACTGTAAAGTCAACTATGCTTGCAAAACATGGGTACTTCTTCTTGACTCCTGCCCACAGATAACCTTGAGACTATATCTTATTAATAACAGTTAAAGCGCAGAACTTTCAACTCGTAGATCGCAGGTCAGAACTCTTGATCACTATGTATTTATTTATATAAGCCACACTATTTGTACAACGGTTAATGAAGCGACTCTACTACCTAAGTAAAAGTGGATGGATCGAGGTTCAAATCTGTGGCACATTAATTTTAAAGTTAATTACTTTAGACGTTAAGACGCCACCTCATATTTTTCGTACCTACCTTGTGGAAATTTCTAGTTTTATAGTTGTAACTGTGATTATTCAACTTTCCTTCTGAGTTACTGAACTGCTGAATAGTCTTGAGAATGGAAAAGTATTCATTGATAATCTGTTTTTGTATTGATTTTTTGAATGTTCCCATTGATGTTTAGGACTTCAATTGATCCGTCATTGACATATGTGCATCCTGTGTGAATTGCCTCGAAATTGCCTTATATCATAAGCGTTATAAACAGAGATGGATGGTGGCTTGTTGTGAAATTCAGGAGGTTATTTTCATCTTATTTGTAACTCGTCAGTTGGATGTACCTGCGAACGGTACTGGGAGTGAATATCAACTCTAGGATGCAGTTGCATCCAGCTGACGAGTCCCAAGTAGGACTAAACGCGCGTCTTTGATTCCGCTGCTAGCCACTAACCATCTCTACTTATAATACACATTGTTAGTTATACTGGTTGATAATTAATATGTGTCAACGTTTTCTATACATGATAGTTGTTTAGTTAATGAAATAGCTTTAGTTAAAATAATTGAAATAATCTGTGCTTGTGATAATATTTTAATGACTTCGATTGAACTAATAACCATGATTAATTCACAAGAATATCTGAAACTACTTATATAATATATGGTAGTAACATATACGGTTTTCTCAAAAAAATCTAGTGAGTTCAATTAGTATATATGTGGTATGGTTCTCGCTAATCACATTCATTATCTTTTACAATAAAGCATAATTCTTCAGAGAAGAAGGCTGATATTGTTTTATCTCAAGAATGGGGATCGGATATAATTCATACTGAGATTTCGTCTGAAAAAGTTCAATATAACAATCTTATTAATAATAATATTAGGAAGAAAAATACTAAATCCAGTTGTTTTACTTCATCAAAACGTAATATACGGGGTACAGATTATACTATCACAAAACAAAAACGGTGTAATTCAAAGCCTAAAAATCAGCCAAGTATGGAGCAATCTGTTGAAAGTCCTTTACACATTGAACAACAACGATTACCTGTCTCAGAACTGGCAAAAACTGATATACCCCAGTCAATACCTTCATCTAAGTGTGATGTTACTAGTGAGGTTAGTTTTTATACTCTTTTTATTTCATATCGCTTTATTTTGTTAGTGAGGTTGTATTATGTGATCAATAAAATGTATAATTAAAACAAATGATTATAGGTAAGATGTTGCATTGTCTGTGCTAGACGGTGGTTTGATTACAAATATTTCGTTGTTTTTCTGTTGGAGAAAATCACTATATCCATGCCTTCAAACCAATACTGAACCGGATCTTAAATGTTAATAGAAGGGTGGGGAAGGCAGCTATCACTCACTTCATGAAAGGATATTTCTTCTTGATAAACCTGAAAATAAAGCTGTTATTAATGATATGTGACCATGACTTCGAATCCCACTAGACATCTGTTTAAGATGGGTCGCATATGACCTTTTTTGCTAGTTCTCGATGTATTGGTTCCATAATCTTGAGATTTACATCCGGCGACTGAAGTTCATATGTTAAATTGTTTGTTGTTCGTAGCGTTATATTTCTCTAGGATCTCTGGAGATCCTAATTGTCTGAGGGAAATCTGTTACTGCTGTTAAATTCCACTACAGTAATCACTGCAACTTTCCCCTGGGATCTTAATTTTTCTGCTTTTCGTCTTACCACTCACCAGCCGACCTACCTGACATCCTAGGATATGGGAAAACGTAATCCAGACAACATAGGTCGATAAGGTCTCTTCGACCGTCACATCAAGTTACCACCTACAGTCGGTTTCCAATAATGCGATTGTGTTGATTAATATGGTATGAAGTTCTTCGTTGTTACTGACTGACTGACTGGATCTAACCTAATTCATTGATTTGTAAATGTTTAGATTTTCCCATTGTTAATCTTTAGAATACAATTGATCAGTGAATTATTATATATTGTAAAACATATTGAGGTTGATAAATTGGAATGCGTTATAATCTTTTATTGTACTTATATTATCACATATACTATGCATTCGAATAGAACAATCTACAATTAGTCTTAAATGAATATTAATGATTATAAGAGTGTTTGTAATGAATACTGAATAACAGAGAGTTGGTCGATATTCTGCTAATAGTTTAGTGAAATATGTTAACATTTATTTAATTGTCAGCTTGGATTTGTTGAGATTGTTGAAATTCATTGAAATCACGAACTGATTAAGTTAGACAATTATTGAGTACCTGGAACCACTAGATGGTCGTTTCGTCATCAGTGCACATCCACAACCCTCCACGCTGGAGTCGAACCAAGGAGTCTCGGTTTCACATACAAACCCTAACCTGTTCGGGTGCGTTTGTGAAAATTTTACGACCCTTTGCTGTACAAGTTACAAAAGTTTAAAATCGGAGACATCGTGATGGCTGGCAATATGCATTGAAAAGAATCAATATTATTCAAATGTCGACTTCTGAAACGCTCATATCTAACTGGCAATCATTCAATATTTATCTTCAATATCGATCAAGAAATAGGTAACGGAATCTCGCTGAAATACCTTGCACTCAGAACTCTATACTGTACCCAAAAGATAATATTGAATAAAGCTAATAATAATGATAATAAACCGCTGAACCAGGATCCATCTTAACTGGTTTCGCTTAGTATATTGATTTTTTTACCAAAGATTATGAATGCTAACAATTTAAATTTTCTTCTGTTTTCTATCCCAGCGATCTCAATTAACACCGGATAATGATGATTGTAAACTTCGTCGTTACATTGAACAATGTTCATTATTTCGTTCCACTAGATCAATCCGAAATCGACCTTCTGAACGTGTTACCAATTGTACTTTACCAGGTTCTTTAGGTACTGTAAAGTTTCGTAGTCGAAAAAATAAACAAAAGTTCACATCAGTTATTTCATCAATTCATTTAGATAGTCCTAATTCAGATTCGGAACTACAAGATTGGAAGTGTTCATGGTCTCTTATACATCATGATAATGATATCAATTGTAATACTAAAAAAGTTACTAATCAATCAAGTTATAATCGACCTCGTGCACCACATATTCCTAGTCCATTACATTTATCAGGAAGTATTTTAAGCGAAGAACCTTCTCAATTATTTGATGAAAAATTAGAACAAATGAAAAATGAATCAAATATTTCTCCATCGAAAACAAATAATTCATCAATCAAAACTATCAACAATAATATCCATAAAAATAATTCATGTATTTTAGAATCTGCTGTCAAATTAGCTGGTTTTGATGAATCACCGGAGAATGTAAGTTACAATATAAACTATGTCTTTTACCTCTCTGTAATTACTTCCTTACGCCTATTACCCCTCACGGAGGAGCATAGGCCGCTCACCAGCATTATCCATCCAACTTTGTCCTGGGCAATTTTTTTCCAGCTCTTTCCAGTTACTATCCATCCTTTTCTTGTCTGCTTCCAATTCTCAGAGCAGTATGTTCCTCGACCTTCCTCTCCTTCGTTTCCCTTCGGGATTCCAAGTTAGGGCTTACCTCGTGATGTAGCTTGATAACTTCCTCAATGTGTGTCCTATCTACTTCCAGTCGAACGGCCCTCGTTCTCGCTCTCAAATTTTCCTGAATAGAACATGGAGCATGTTTTCAGTTGCTTCTATGTCTGGTATATTGCCAGATCCTTCTGCTTTCCCACTCTTTATTTGCTTTATTCTAAACCAGTAATGTACTTGGAATCTAAGATCATGACTGGACGAATGGCATATTAACCTAGTTTGATCACCTAGTACCTTAATATTGCACTTCTTTAAGTTGCTCGACTATCTTGTAGCATAAACTCCTTCTGTCGAAAGCTCAGGAAATGGTTCTCCTAAAAAGAAACCAATTGCTTCGGTCTAAGGGTCTGAACATTATCAATAACCTACACACAAATATGACTAGCCTCGGCAAATTCTTTCCATTTTGTTACATATTTAGAGATTAACTTAGTTCTTTTCCAACCACAGAATTGTTCAACCATTTTGATGGCTTAGTAGATTATAATTCCTTGTCTTATTTCTTCCCAACGGATAGTATCATCAACTTTTATGCATGAAAAAGGTATACTTCAAAACCGAATACATAAACTTTCTATTACAAAGGTCTATATTTTTATATTTTCCTATCGTCGTTTGATGAGAATATATTCACTGTTATTGTCTCTTTCAAAATTTACCATCTATTTTTCCCCTTCAAATTTAGGATCCTTTAGTGAAGAATATATTAAATAATGGCGAACGCCTATCTATACCATCATTTTCTGATCTTACACCTAATTCATTTAATGCTAAAATTTGTATCGAAGCAAAAAGCAATAATGAACAACAACAGTTTAGTCCATTATTTCCTACTTCTACTTTACCAATAACATCGTTGTCTGATGAATATACATCATCACCTGTTTTAATGAAACCTAAAAGAAACCTGAGAAATTCATGTACAACTAGAAAAAGAGCATTCACATCACTTACTACGAGTTCAGCTACCAATAATAGTGCTAATAATGATAGTAAGGATTGTCTAGTACACAAAAATTCTAATAATAATAATAATAATAAGGTAGGTAGAACTAGGAAAACATTATCATCTATACCCAAAGAAAATAATCTATCATTGCCTACAGATAAAACAATTAAACAGAATTCGAGGAAGTCAAAATTTGAAGTGAATAATAACTCTCTTGAAATGCCTATTCGACGATCTACACGACTTATTGTACAGTCTGATAAAAGTTGTAATAAACCTCCCTTTGCTGTTGCTTCAACGTTGCAGCATCATATACCACCTATTGTGAGTATTCCAGAAGATAAGTGTAGTAGTAGAAGGACTAGGAGTAGCGCTTTAATCAATTTAAAACCAGAAAATACCGCAAAAAATCAACGAAAAAGACGGATGACAACATCTACAAATGAAACGAAAGAAGAAATTCTTAAAATATCAAATACTGATTTCAATAATACTTCTTCAACATCTACTGGATCATCAAGAACCAACACTGTAAGTTTTGCTTGCAATTTAAAATATGCTACTTGTTCTCACTTAAGTAGTTATTTTCATTGACTAAAATATTACGAGATACCATCTCAATATATAAGGAAATTCATCGAAATTAAAGAGTTTTCGTTTTGATTAATAACTGATATTTTAATGGGATATAGTGTAATGTAATTGGTACTATTCAACCCATCTGATTCATAGGAACTTGTAAACATGATGTATTTTCCTATCGTTTAATCATGCATTCGGTCATAAAAGAACTTAAGTTTTCATTGTCAGTCAGTCAGTTAGCTACAACGTGGGACCAGGCACATATGTGCATCGGTCCAGGTTGCCATACCGCATCAGCACAACAAGATGAACACCGGATTCATAGCAGTGGTTAGGTCAAAGGTGGTAATATATAAGAGAAAGATTGCATATAGAGATATAGTACAAGAAGAAAGAATTGGTTCGTAGAAAGAAAGATATGAAGTGATTTTAATCTCTTAGTTTAAGGGAAGACAGGGAGTGTATACACCGACGCCATTGTGATCGATTCTGAGCCATGTCACCAAGAGTCTCCAACCATTGGTTACGATAGTCACACGGACCCCAACCAAGTAGTTTTCATCTACCAACATGGCTCATACCAGAAGTTAGTGACTGTATGGACTGATGCCACATTTTGGTTTGGCCACCCCTAACTTTCTTCCAACCATCCCCAACACTAGTTAGCATTGCGCGTCGTGGTAATCGGTGTTCAGGCATACGTAATACGTGGCCCAACCATCTCAGTCGATGAAGATTCATTACCTCATCGACTGATTTACCATCATTCCCTAATACCCTGCGTCTAATCTGTCATTTATCTCATTCTTCTTAACCAGCTTTTAGTCTGTCACTTATCGTCAATGTATTATCTGATATAAATGTGTATCTGTACGATTTGTTGTACATTACGTCAGCACCGCAAGTAAGGTATTCGTGGCCCTGTGTCTGATTCCGGTTAAATCATATCCTAATTTTTGTCGAAATATGCATGCTACCAATCCTCATATATTTTTATCGAGTTAATTTGCATTACGGAATAATGGAATAAAATAAATTGAATACGAGAATGAGTTTTGAATAATTATATTTTGCACAGCTACTGATCCAAACAAACAATCAGAGGAACGAAGTGACACGCAGCGGTAAAGACGAGTTAGCCAATTCCATTTGATCAAGCGCGACTCAATATTTATAGTCAGATAAAAATAATCAAGACATGTAATGAATAGGATGAACAATTAACATTCTCACGGTCACTTAAGCGTCGCCCAAAGGCCATCCATAAATTATGGTCTCACTCTTATTCTTTAATAATCGATCATCACTTCAAACACCGATTCGTTCTTAACTCTCGCGAAAAGGAGACATTTTGTTAATAATAATAATAATAATAATAATAATAATAATAATAATAATAATAATAATAATAATAATTTCATATTCTATTCTCCACAGACTAATTCCATTCAATTAGTATTCAGTGGTGTTGAATCTTCAAGTTATTCAAACATTCTAAAAAAACTGAATGCATTTGAAACAGAAGATCCTACACTTGCTGACTATTTAATTACTGATCAAATTAAACGTACCTTAAAAGTATTATATGCTAGAGCACGGGGTATACCAATTATTTCAGTGGAATGGTTAAAAGCATGTAAACAATCTCGTAAAGGTTCAAATCCAGGTAAATAATAATTCATCTCTTTTTTTTCTTTATGTTTATGCTTAGGTTTGTCATTTCATATAGCTATGATAATTTGTTATTTCCTAGTTTAATTTTAAAAAGTAGCTAACATTGTAAAATTCTGGATGTGCATTTTCATCCCAACCATTGTTGCTACCTTGACGTGGTGATGGGGCTTGCCTATCGTGATTAACCAATCGAGCTATGCTGATTGGAACAATCGTCCTTCAAGGTCCTACCATGTCAGACAGGTCGGTTGATGAGTGATAAGACTAAAAGCAACAAACCCAAGGTTCGAAGGAGAGGTCGTACTGCTGACTGTACAGAGGTGTGAAGGCAGTAAGGCGTTTCCTTCAGACAACCAGCATAACAGCGATGCTTCCTTCCCATGAGGATGGGTGGGGTTAGAAAAGGTCGACCCTAAAAATGCACATCTCGCACTATCCCACGAATATCCGTCTCCGGTGGTAATTTCTCAAGAAGTACGGAGCTAACACGAAAATTACCCACCAAAAGGTCATGTGTGACCGACCTCAAGCAGTTGTCCGTTGGGCACTGCGGTCAAGCTCTCAGGTCACTCAGACCACCTCTACTCCAACGATAGTATACGTGTTCTTCACTTAGTTCAGAAGGATAATCTACTATCTTATCTTAAAATTACATGCATACTATTTCGATTCCTCCACTGTATGTTTAACAGCGTTCCCAGTCAACAGCGTACAGCTTTATCTCTTATACACATTCGTTATAAACTTCGATAGTTACAATCTAACAATGCGTATTCGCTAATCTCATTATATATAAGTAATATCGTTTTTATGGTGTACGGTTCTATTCAGCTGCTATTTACTTCCTTAATACTTGACTCCAGCTTAGTCATCCATCGGTATTAGATTCAAATAACATAGGAGTCTGCATTAATTAAAAGCCCAAATAAAGTATTTATAATCAATGTGTATATTTATAGTTTCTGGTTAGCGTTTTTTAGCGAGTTAGTTGTCTACGGGAATACAGTAGACATCTAGGATGCAGTTGGACGATCTAGACTTTGCAGATGATCTGGCCCTCCTATCGCAATCGCAACAAATGCAGGAGAAAACTACCAGTGTAGCAGCAACCTCAGTAGCAGTAGGTCTCAATATACACAAAGGGAAAAGCAAGATTCTCCGATACAACACAGAATGCACCAATCCAATCACAATTGACGGAGAAGATTTGGAAGATGTAAAAACCTTTACATATGTGGGCAGCATCATTGATGAACACGGTGGATTTGATGCAGATATGAAGGCGCGGATCGGCAAAACAAGAGCACCATATTTACAACTGAGGAACATCTAGAACTCAAAAGAACTGTCAACCAACACCAAGGTCAGAATTTCCAATAAGAATGTCAAGACAGTCCTACTGTATGGGGCGGAAACTTCCAGAACTACGAAAACCATCATCCAGAACATACAAGTGTTTGATAACAGTTGTCTACGCAAAATATTTCAGATCCGTTGGCCGGACACTATTAGCAACAACCAACTGCGGAGAAGAACAAACCAGATCCCAGCGGAGGAATAAATTAGGAAAAATCGCTGGAAGTGGATAGGACACACATTGAGGAAAGCACCCAACTGCGTCACAAGACAAGCCCTCACATGGAATCCTCAAGACGAAAGGAAAACAGGAAGACCAAAATACACATTACACCGGGAAATGGAGATAGTCATGAGAAAAATGAACAAGAATTGGGTGGAATTAGAAAAGAAGGCCCAGGACAGAGTGGGTTGGAGAATGCTGGTCGGCGTCCTATACTCCATTAGGAGTAACAGGCGTAAGTAAGTAAGTAATATTTATAGTTAACCTAAGAATGAATCAAAACAGGATTATTTCCCCAGTTGTCGAAGTTAGGCAACTAATCCAATCCACTTGTACTATTCCTTACGTACAATAATTTCAACTAACTTGTTAACCATTTGCTTTTGTTTCTAGTTTATTCATTGTTCTATTTTAAAATTTCTTTATGATTTCTTTATGTTCCTTTATGTAATTTCAACATGGAATTCCTTCAATTAAATCCTATGCACAGATCCACTTAATTTTAAATTACATTATTATAATACACAGTCTATGCATACTACAGTTTCAAGTGAACAGTCTACACGATGTCATTCCTCATTTGTGATGAAATTATCTACAAATGAACAAATAAACCAATTTGAAGAAACAAATGAATTCTTATGTGGTTGGTCTTTTTGTTCAACTCCAAATGTTTTACCATCTTCTATGGATTTACAAAAACTTACAGAGTTTGCTGGTGGTTATTGGATGTCCGATGAAGATTTATGTAATGCTATGAAGAATTTGAATGATGTAGTAAGATTCTTCTTATTTTTTATTCATTTTTTTGTTAGTATTTTCGTTATTGCTAAGTATATTGCATAACAGTTCGTTCTGTTTTAACTTAGAACTGTGAAATGAGATCTTCAAAGAAAAATAGAGAATACCTATAGCCTGTTAGTAATTTGATCAAGACTCCTTTGAAGCGTTGCTCATGAATATTGTATTCATTAAGTTATCAATTCTGAAGTTGAACACAAGGTATACAGTAAATATGAAGTGATTAGGGCAAGTGTTACATATATCCAAACACCGCTTATCCAGACGAGGGAGATTGTCTGGTCTAGTAACAGATTGGAAGGAAACTAGAGACACTCTAACTAAAAGATTGGATCAGTTATGAAGTCATCGAATTTTAATCTGTTCTTGTTGGGGTGATCCAGAAAATTGCTTGCAAAAGAAAAGCACGCATCAGGCAACACTAGGAAGCGTTTCATCCAATCAGCGTTCACGTGGAGTCTTGGCCAAAAATATCAAGGAAACGAAACGTCACATGCAGAGGCTCTGATTGGCTGGCTGCTACACTGCTACTATGTTTAGTAGCATTCCAGAATCTTCTAGCAACCTAAGGACATTTAAAATATAAAAACCCTGTATTTCCTGTGTTGAAATGAACCTTTGAAGTAAACTACTTCTCGCATACTTTGAGTCTTCTCTCTCGTGTTCAGGTCGCTGTATAGTTCTAGCTTGGGGGCTACAGAATAGCTTAGGAGACCAAAATAGCATTCAGTCCCCAAGACTTATCAGTTCTATATTGGTCAGTTCAGATTACTAGGTTAGTGTCTCAGATTATCGTAACCAAATGGTTGATGAAATTAGTTCATATGACTTAAAATCGGTTTCAATGGCATAGACACATTTACTCTTTATCTCCTTTTTAATATCAACTATACAGTTACTACTTCTATTAATCTGGGTTTTATCTTGACAACTTTTATCTAATCAACTGATACACACACATATGGCATTTTCCATGTTGCTTATCACTGACTTCTAATTGTTTTTATACGATCAATTACGAAATATGTAATTTTCAGTCACTTATACCTATACCTATACACTGATGAAATGAAGATAAAATTTGATAAAAACTTAAGTAATATTATGTAATCAATTCGTATAAAGATTTCATTATTCCAATACAATGACCATTAAACACAACTGTATTATCTAAATTCAACAGTTCCTACTTATGATGTCATATTACTTACTTACGTACTCCTATTATCCCTCGAGGAGGAGCATAGTTCGTTCACTAGGATTCTCCATCATTATATGTATTAAGAAATTGAATATGATGTGTGGGCGAGAATGATAATAATTGGTTGTCTACTTAGTCAGACATGTAGATAGTCTGACAGGTGTCGGATGAGTTATGTAATCCCTTATCCTTATTATTATAATGACACTTACTTATTATTGATTGTTCATTGTTGTTGGATTGTGTCGGGTTTTTACTGTGGAAATATATTTACGTTGTGGTCAGGTTAATCACGTGTTCTTGATCATCTGAGTTGTGTTGAAGTCCTGTAGAATAGACACTGGGAGGGAATCTAGTGTAGATAATCGTTTAAGGTAAATTGACGTCCCATACGTGTAAACGTTGGAAACTCAACCGTTATAACATTAGACAAAGTAAAACCGAGCGTTATAACAGAATAGAACATTATAGTTTCATGATTATCATCTAATTTCACTGGTTGAAATCATGAGTCAATTAAAGCTAGACCACCATGGAAAACCTGGAAGCACTGGATGGCCGTTTCGTCCTAGTATGGGACTCCTCAACAGTGTGCATCCACGATCCCGCACCCCGCGGGATTCGAATCCAGGACCTATCAGTCTCGCGCCAGGCGTTTAACCAACTAGACCACTGAGCTGGCCGGCATTCAACGGTGTTAACGTCCAACTTCAACCAATCCACAAAGTTGCTCCAGCATACACCATTGTCTCCAGTGAGCTGATATCTCACAACAGACCTGGTTTAACTCGACGGCTAACGACTTCTCACTCGAACTCCAGGAGTGTCTCCTGAAGTCAGTCACTAGTGAGTAGGTGATTATTATTATCAGAATGGGTTTTGTGGAGATTTTTAGAAATTTCACTTGTTAAAATCATGAGTCAGTTGAAGCTAGACCACCATGGAAAACCTGGAAGCACTGGACGGCCGTTTCGTCCACGACCCCACACCCCTCGAGATTCGCGGATGTGCACTGCTGAGGATTCCCATACTAGTATGAAACGGCCATCCAGTGCTTCCAGGTTTTCCATAGTGGTCTAGCTTCAATTGACTGATGATTTCAACAAGTGAAATTTCTAAAAAAACTCCACAAAACCCATTTCGATAATATTATTTAATTATTGAACTACCGATTTGGAATTCAATGATCTGGTTAAGAAAAAAACCTTTCATAAAGGTAACCTATCGTGTGCATGAAATGATTACTTTTTATGTTTGTTTTTGTCAACCGATTTTGTATTAGTATGATGTGAGTATCAGCAAGAGAACCTATAAACCTTAGGAAGACATAATGTGTAATTGACGACTGTTTTACAAAGATTCATTTCACAGTTTATAATAAGAAAATTCTTTTAGATTTCGATTTCTCGTTATGATCTGACTTTCTTTTCCCATGGTAATCTCTTTTTCTCTTTCTTACTGTTGCAATTAACTAGCCTATTAAATCAGTTATTATCACAACTAAAGAAGAATATCATTCTATGTTATTGTTGAATTCAAAATCATCTTGTAAAAATTCCCGACTTTCAAGAAATTCAAAAGAATGCAAACAAACCACTCCAATTTTACGCGCTTTATCTTCATTACTTACAGTATCTACTGATTGGTTCTTACAGACTATTATGAATCGTAAACCTCCAAATTGGCCTATTGATTCACAATATAAGTAAGTTTCAATTCGATTATTCTTTATCACTGTTTTATTACATATTTTATAGTCAGTCAGTAACAACGTAGAACTTGGTACACACGTACATCAGTTCGAGTTGCCATACCACATTGACACAGAGATACAGTTGTCGGTTCAAATCCCATCGTGGTAGGTTAGAGGTAGTGAAAGTATAAGAAGCAATCAGAAACATTAGGGTTTGGAGATGATAGTCAAGGAGTATAATCCAGTGAAATAAATTTGCAAAGAGGAAAATTAAAGGTACATGAAGAATTCAGAAGATTAGAATTTGGACGAACACAAAGAGTGGATGCACCTGTGTCATTGCAAACGATTTTGAGCCATGTCATTCAAGGTCTCTAACCATCGGTTACTATCATCTCGCGGATCCCAAGTAGTCTACATCTACCAACATGACTCAGTCCACTTGTCAGTGACTTCATGGACTTGTGCCATGTTTTGGTTTGGCCACCCCTAGCATTCTTCCAACCTACTCCTACACCACAAAACATCGCACATCGAAGCAGTCAGTGGTTGGGCATACGTAACACGTATCCCAGCCATCTCATCATATCTTATGTATATACCATGTGTAAATTATTGTAGTTATATCTTCCAAGTTGGAATAATTGTTCATTAAAAACGTTTTTCCTAACAAAATATATCAGTAATTATATATTCACTGCATATTTTTCATATAAGTTTAAAACAATTAAACTTACGTGTAAGGGATTTATAGAAATTATTAACCATTTCACAGTTTACAACATGAACTGAATTCAGCTAGACATTTATTGACAACCAAGCAACATTGGACAATTGTTTTATTTTATTACAGAATACGTTAACAGTGCTCATGCTATTACCCCACCGGTGATTAAATCCAAGATTTTCAAATCAGTCTGTACAGCCGTTCTTCATATATCTTCCATACTAACAATGATTATAAGTGTATGTGCATCTTGTTGGGAAGTTTCATATGTAAATGAAGCAGAATCATTTCACTTTTAATGATTAATTAGCTAAAGTCATTTCATGAAATTAATCACAAAATTATCAGGGATTCTCATTGTTTTTGTGACGACGGACCACGGGTGAGCTCGAGGAAGCTGTAGGAGTCTCGGAAGGAGCTGAAGATATTCCATCTAATTACCTTTCGGAAGAATATTATAGAATTAAATGTGTAGCCTCCTGATTGGTCAATGCTAATAATCCCATGAACGCGGATTGGTGGACTGTAATGATGATTTCGTTCTTACTAAAAACTATAAATACCTGACAATTTTGTACTATAATTGGCACTGTTTGGAATAATATTCTTTTCGTAAGTCTTCTGTCTTCTTACTGCGACTTGGAAGGGTTTTGGTGTTCTAGTGCTCTGTTATACGCGGCATATGAAGAAATCAACCTTTAAGATATAACAGTTTTGTTCATGTGTAAATGTTAGTTATACAAAGTCATACTTTCTTTTCATTTGTTTACCGTGGTCTTTCTGTTTGCCTACTTTTTACAGGATACAATGAATCTAATTCTCTTAAGTCATTATATATATAGTTCTCATGCTCCTAAAGGAAGCAGTCTCACCAGACGGGATATTGTGTACATGATCAACCCTGTTCAATTATCGTACTCCCTGCTACTACTACTACTAATAATAATAATAATAATAATTGATATATTCTTAATTTGATATATTCTTAATTATTGTCACATTTATTATCTAAATAATTTGCCTACTTTTGCATTTATATCATGAATTGATCTAAGTTAAAACACCATTGAAAACCTGGAAGTACTGGAAGACTATTTCGTCCCAAAATCGAGACTCTTCAACGGTGTACATCTATAATTCCACATATAGGATTTGAATTGAATGGTGGGTTAACTTAGATCGGTTTATGATTTCAATGAAAGTTAACAACTTCCACAACCTCATATTGAAAATCGGTTACTTTCGTTTATTGTATTGTTTATTTTATTATTCTCAAATACCTGTTTGATCGTATACTTTGTTGTTTATGGATTGAAAAAATCAATGAATTGTTTTGTTTTATTTTATTTCAATAAAGGTTCGTAGTTTATTTTTAATTTTCGAACTTATAAATAGATTTGGTTGAGACATTCCAATTGGTTATACACTAACAACTGATAAATCTTCTGATTAGGCTCTTCTAATAACCTCTGACTAACTCAACACGACAACTTGAACACGAGAGAAAAAGCGCGAAATATAGATTATTATTATTATTTTAACACATAGATATTGGTACAAACAGGCACTAAATGCATATGATAAGTGTGAGGGCTATGATACTGCCCGGGTGCCCAAACCGAAGCAGCTGGTTTTATTAGGAGGCCACACTCCGAGCCTTTGACCTGAAGGTCTGATCCACAAAACAGTGGAGCATCGTGAGGAGATGCAGTCTCATGGTAGCCGGTGACCGGAAATTGATTCCTTCAGGATACTGGAGATCATGTGCACCATTGATTTGGACATTCGCTTTTCGTCCTCTCATTTTAGTAAACAACACCCTTAGTGAGAGAAGGTAGCGAGTAAGACTTCCCTAGCAGAGGCTATATACGCGTGGCCATGTGAGAGCATTTCGAGAGGGAGAGCGGACTCTCCCCACTCTCGGCCATGCCAGGGCATTTGCGGGCATATAAAAAGAACTCTTTACTCCAATGATAGTTTATGTACAGAAAATTTAGGGTATGTATGGCATTTCAGATGGCCTTGGGCTTCTGGAAAGTCCTGGAACACTACTAAAAGTAGTTGCAGAATAGGCAATCAGAAATGTGACATGTGAGTTTTCACTTTCTATTCAATTTTGATTGGATACAATGTTTCCCAGCGAATTCAAGGCTCCTTTGAACTGTTTTCGAGGAATTTTCTGAGTATCTACAACACAAAACATTCCACCAGTAAGACTTTATATCTTGTTGAACTGCGGGTATTTCAGTCGACACTATCTTCCTGTTGATTAAGATAAATTGTGATTTAGCACAAATAGGACTCTGTAGATTCATTCGTAACCATTCTAAAATTATAGTCGAAATGAATAAACGAATGATCTGTGCTAATTGACTCAAAGTTCGAATCAATTCTTCAATACAATTATTCCAACGATATAACAGTATAATTTAAAATCCAGAGTCGGCACATTACTGTCTAGTTGTCCAACAGTTTAAATGTTGATTTCCAAGTGACTCACGTCATGTCAGATGTGGAAGGAGACGCTAACTGTATTACTGAATTTTAATTTCATACATAATTAGTTGTTTTTTTAAATTTTAATATGCGTTACTAGTTTTTCTTCCAAGATACAATGCTGGCCGGAGTAATCATAGGTGCAAAGAAATCAGGTGATGGTCAATCAACGACATAATGTCTGTTGTATCCTCGTGAAGATTAGATTACGGGTAACTTCTGAGGACTATTAATGAACTAATATTATATATATATATTGTATAACTGTTCAGTAACTAGATTACGTATATCTATATTCCTCTCATTATAAACTTTCATTTGATTTATAGGCTATTATTATACCATTTACTGTTTTTAAGTTATACTCAGTTTATTGGTTACCGTCTCTCACGTTTTGGCTAGATCTTGTATAAATGTTATTTCGTATTTTATGGTGTGATGAGGTCTGTTTGGCTGGTATATAAACCAAGTACGATTCGCATAGTGGAAGCTGTTATTGGTTTTCTGGACTCAACTTGCAGGGTTAGGCGAACAAAGGACCAATAAGAACGCTAGGCTGCTCATACCGGTCGAATATTATTGGTTCTAGCACAGTGCTAAGATTGTATAAATCATATTTCGATTGGCGAATAAATCACGTAATAATTAGCCGACCTTAAAGTCACAACAATATCAATATATGAAATCACTGATTGTTTGGATTAACCCTGGTTAGTATGTCCGGATTTTCTCGTTCAAATTTGTAGAATAATCGCAGTGTACAATTGAAAACTAAAAGTAATATGGTCCTAAATCATTTACATTTCCGTCCGATGCTTTGATATTCTTTAATCTCCTGAATTTAGCGTCATATTATACTTCTCATTGATTCCTTTTGAATTTAATATACAGAAAGCTTTAGGAAATCTGTTTTCGATTAATGAATAGCCTTATAGAGTGTTGATATCCATAGCAGGTTACTTATTTGCTTACTTACGCCTGTTACTTCTCGTGATAGAGCATAGGCTGCCCACATGCACGCTCTATCCAACCCTGTCCTGGGCAATTCTTTCCAGCTCTTTCCATTTGTTATTCATCCTTTTCATATCTGCTTCTATTTCCCTATGTAATATATTCTTTGGCCTTCCTCTTTTCCACTTCCCTTCAGGATTCCAAGTTAAGGCTTGCCTCATGATTCACTTTGATAATTTCTGTAACATATGCCCTATCCATTTCCATCGTCTTTTCCTAATTTCCTCTTCAGCTGGAGGCTAGTTTGCTCTTTCCTACAGTAAGCTGTTGAGGGTTTATAAAATTAAATGAAGTAGTAGAATGTCATTGATTTTGGTTAACAGTGCATACATGTTTATCTACAACAATCTAACATTGTGTTAGTTGATAATCTTGTAGATTTATGGTAATTAGAGAGAATATTATATGTAGGCTAATGCATTCGTTTATGCGATGAAATTGTAAGCTAAACTGTACTATATTCATATAATATTAGCACATATAACCTGATTAATTATTTGTCAATTGTGTGAATAAGTTCATCAGTCAGGTACAATGTAGGACCAGGCACATATATGCATCGGTCCAAGTTACCATACCTCATTAACACAACAAGATGAGGTATGACCGTTATTGCTACCTTGACGTGGTGGTCGGGCTTGCCTATCGTGATGAAGCAACCGAGCTATGCTGACTGGAACAATCGTCCCTCAATATCCTACCATGTCAGACAGGTCGGTTGAAGAGCGGTAAGACTAAAAGCAACAAACCCAAGGTCCGAAGGCGAAGTCGTACTGCTGACTGTACAGAGGTGTGACAGCAGTAAGGGGTGGTTCCTTCAGACAACCAGCATCTGCAGCGATACTGCCATCCCACAAGGAGGGGAGGGGTTAGAAAAGGTCGACCCTAAAAATGCACACCTCACCTTATCCCACGGATATCCGTCTCCGGTGGTAATTTCTCAACAAGTACGGAGCTAACACGAAAATTACCCACTAAAAGGTCATGTGTGACCGACCTCAAGCAGTTGTCCCTTGGGCACTGCGGTCACGTTCTCAGGTCACTAAGACCAGCCCTACTCCAATTTCCTTTTCAGGTGCCCTCAGAAGAACGCTTCCACGGTGTGGGTAACCAGGGAATGATAGCCGCCCTCATGCTTTCAACAACACTCAAGACTGGCATTTTCATCACATTCAGAATTGATGGTGCTTCTTGCGGCCCAACACCTCCTGGTACTTTGAATCTAACGCCACTTTGGTCGTTTTCCAGTATTTCTCGATAGTAGTTTGCTATTCTTTGAATGGATATCGTAAGGCTTGAAACCACTTGTAGCCAAAATCCCGAATTCACTAATTTTGTTAGTATCTCGAAGGAGGGTTGTATAAAGTTTTTATATTACCATTTTCTCCCCTGAACCCTCTGAACTTTTATTGATACAAAGGTGGTCGATCAGGTTCTCTGTAGTCTGGTCCGGTCAGCTTTGTGTCTGCGTTTGTGGGGAAAAAACTGTCACACGTAACCATTTTGTTGAGCGCACATAGATTTACCAGTCTCTTTTCATTCTTATTTCTTTCTCTCAATTCATATCATTCGATGATATCTTCATACGCGGTGTTGCCCATTCCGACCTTGGCGTTTAGTTCTTTCATCAGGATTTCACTAAGTATTTATCATCGTTGGGCTCTTTTTTATGATAATCTGGTCTGCATCACCTTGACCGCAGGTCATTTTAGAGCTCAAAGCACTTGATATCATTCATTTTATTCCTTACTCGTTCGCTTGATGAATGTATTCTTACACGACGGGTAATTAAAAGAGATCTTCCGGGACTTTCCTACATTGACACATTTTATTTTTGTTCTATAATCATAAAACAATCTGCTTATTATATTGTTGTATACCTCAGCTGGTAAACTTTTCTATGATCCATAAACTGCTGTTGTTTGTTCTGTTCTTCGTATGTTAGTGTTATTTTATTACGGTATTCTAACTCAACATTTTCCACTTATGGTGTAGTTATGTTGTTATTATAGTTTATTAATTATCTTGATTTATGTTCAAGACCTTACTGCATATAATTGTATTAGTTTTGGATCATGATTGAATTGAGTTCATAACAGAAGCTGTCTCCTGACTTCATTTTGGACTCAAGGCAAGGAATAAAGAAAGGCTTGCGGATAGTGTATCAAAAGGATTTCAGCTTGCATTGGCTCGAGGTTAACTGTACGGGTCAGACGAATTATTGGTCACGTAGATTTAGAGTAGGAAAAATTGTAATCAAAATTTTGATTGGTGACTCTAACATGAAATCGACCAATGTACCTAAGCAATTTTAGGTGCTTTTATGATCCTCAAGTCATAGGTTTACTATCCTATAAGAGCTTTTCGTGATTCTTTGTACAAAATCACTCCAACTCCTTGTGTATGAAACATTCTCTTCTCCATAGCCAAAATTAAGTAATAGCTCTCCTAAAGTTAGTCTTTTTATCAGGATGGTGTCCAACGATTTTCACTGATTCCGAGCACTACCACGTTTTATCTTCTCACTCCCGTTGCTATTTTAATTGCCCTCCCAGTTTCTCACCGCATCTGGCCATCCAATATACCTATAATGATTATTTTTCTGGTTAAGTGAAGGTGGATAAGTCTAGTGGATTGTAGAGAACCTAGGCTCTTTTTATGGGACATCAATGCTCTTCTAAATGAAGACCCTTGAAAACCCAGCGCACAGTTTATATAATTAAAATGGTTTCTTCTCGTTAACGTTTTTCAATTAAGGTTTCTTTCTACAGGATGACATTGCTATTCCTATGACCAACAGTCCTCCTCTATCCAGAGTTGGAGCGACAGTATACATGGCTACAGACGGAAATACTATTTGTATACATTAACTTAATCTTCATTAGTTCCACCATGACACGCTGGTGGATTTCAGTTAGCTTATAATATTATTAAGAAAGATAGTTTGTATGTTATGTCTAAAGGCTCTGTCAACTATCACGTGACAAAATCGCCAATCAGCACACCGACTTATATGAACTTTTCTCTGCACACGACCAGCCTTGAGTCTACTCTGAGTCCTTATTGGTCTTCTGTATATTAGCTTCTTGCTTAAGCCAGCCCGGTTCAGTTCAGAACATTAATATCAACCTCCATTGTACGGATCGTATATTTCAGATACACTTAGTTAATACACAAGCAAACCAGGCCGCATCACCCCATAAAATGAACAATAGTAACTGTACAAGATCAGGTCAAAAGTGGTTGTGAGTGTTGGATACTATCACTAACAAACTGGGAATACATTAAGAATGATGTATTTCATGACAGCGGCTAACAAGTCACATGAAAACTTATGATAAAAAGAATATGAATGTATGTTCAATCCAGTTACTTAATAATTGTTCAATAAGAATATATGTAATAAGAGTCCATAAATAATTCTTAGCAGTTCTTGTTCATTTATTCTTCATTCGGATATAACAGTGTGGCCTTGAGATTCAAGATAAGAAATTCGGTCACTGTCCAATCGGAACAATGGAAATATTTATTTTGAGTTTTAGAATTATTTTCAAAGTTTCAGAAGAACGTTGATTGATCAAATTAAATGATTTTTGAAGTTCTCTTTGAGTTCTCCTAGCATTTGTATTTTACAGTAATAATAGAGTCAATACCAATCAGGTGGTGGGATTATGTTAGACATGGTGGAGAAGATTTGTAGCTCAGGTGGATAATTTTGATGTAGTTTTTTTCTTTGAGCTGGATGGTTTGGTCGTGGAGCTTTCATCGTTCTTCTGAACGACATCATCAGCACAAACCTCTGGAAGTTTGTTAGACAGAAATATCCACCTTCTCTTTGTCTAATAATCACTACAAGTCAAAAGAAATTGGGATGGATTTAAATTGTTTTATCTTTGTCTGATCCAATTAAAAGATTAGTCTGCTTATTTAGAGCGATTCGGTCAGTTTATTATAAAGGAGACTGATTTACTTTTTATAGTTCAGCAATGTACAGCTTATCCGGAAGGGACGTTTCTTCGAAATGATTTTTGCTCATCACCCATTATTTACCTACTTTTAAACCCATCAAAATGTATACACAAATACTTAAATTTCATCAGGGAATACTTAAAACATCTAGAGAACAATGAAATAATTAAATAACCGTCCCACATACATTATATTCTCAACGGATGATATAATATCAAAGTAGCATAGACTATTTTATGCCGGATAATTAATTTACCTAGGAGTATCTTTATCTATCTTTTATGCAGCACAGATTAGTCATTAATTCTTTAAACAAATTATAGGTTGAATTCACTTGGTATTGTTTACTTAAATATTCCCATTGTTGTTGAGGACTGATCATTCGCTTATCGGCATATGTGCATCCTGTGCGTATTGCCTCAATATTGTCTTAATTCACAAACATCATAAGCAAAGATGGATAATGGTTAGCAATGGAATTCAAGACGCGCATTTCGTCCTATTTGAAGTGAACGGTACTGGGTCCGAGTCCCAGAGTGAACATGTCTGAAATGCAGGTACATCCAGCTGACGAGTCGCAGATAGGACTAAACGCTCGTCAAACTGGATTCTACTACTAGCCACTATTCATCTTTGCTTATTAATTATAGGTTGTTTTTACAAGAAATATGCGGTGAGACTCTAATTTATGGACGAGCCAATCAGAGGTGTTTTAGAGATTTCAAGGTTATGGCGCCAACTTCAGTGCTTAATCCTAACGTACGATCGGTTCACAAAGAATTTCGTACAAAACGTAATAATTGAGCGGCTATAACAAATAAAACGGCAAGACTATAATTTGTGGACAAATCAATCAGGTATAAGATAATAGATCTCGGATTTTAACGTGAAAGCCTTTCATCCATTTGGCTAAATAAACTTCTGGCATTATAGCTCATGTCACTTCGTGATGGAAACCTCATACATAATTCCTAACTAAAGCAAATTACGACAATTATTGAGAACCGGATAATAAAAGCGTCAGTAACACTAGCTGCAGCCAGGTACTGCAATATATACGGATGCTTGGAGAGCGTACAGACTCCTACATAGGCTCGGTTATGTGCATCTTGTCGTTATCCACAAGTAGAATTTTTTGCACTCAACAACCGGAGTACACACAAACAATATTGAAATTATGTGGTCGAGGCTGAAAGAGTATTTGAGACTTTATTGTGGCTCCAGAGACCGACTATTCTGTAGCCATATGGATGATCTCGTCTACTGCATGCATTACGATTTTAGAACCTCTGCCTCTTTCTAAGCTTGACAAGTTTTTGAACCACGTATAAAAAGTGTATTCACTTTACTTCCTTGGTTTTGTATTATGTGTTTTACTCTATACTGACTTTTTGCCGGCTGGCTAATATTCCTCAAGTTCACTTAAGATTCGTTCAAAGGTCGCCCATAAATTAGAGTCTCGCCAAATATGCTTTAAACCATGAGAATAGGTAACTGAATAACAGTTCATTGACCAACTTCTAATTTATATAACAGCCTGGAATATAACATCGATCAAATCGGATCAACACTTGGATAACCATCTATCAATTATCTATATGATATTACTTGTATAAATCATACATTATTCAATCAGAATATCAATGTGACTAGGATACAATACAATTGAATAAACAAATTCACTTCTATATATATAGAGAGAGGAATGAAAGAAAGTGAAAAGGGAATGGTCAAATAGCAAGTTGGTTTATTTATTTATTTTAAAATTTTATCCTCTAAAAACAATCAATAAATAAATAAATAAACAAAAAATCAATAAATAATAGACAATTTCTAAAAAAAATTTTTTTTAATTATCATAAATCTTCTATATCTAAATCGATATTTATATATTTACAAGTGATCAACATAAAATACATACATACATACATAGTAACAAGTAAACAAACAAATATTTATAGGAAAAACAAAATACAAACAATAAACAATCAAATATTGAATGACTTTAAAATCAATAATCATTGAATTGATTATTGAAACCCAAGATAAGGTTAGATGGAAAATGCTAGTGAGCGGCCTATGCTCCTTCACAAGGAGTAACAGGCGTATGTAAGTAAGTAAGTAAGTGATCATTTGAAGATTAGATTTGATCGTTGATAAAATTGATCATAAAATAAACAAACGATTAACATACATATTGATCTTGTCAAAGATTGTACTTAAGGTTATTAAAGAATTTCTGTATAAAAAAAATGTTTTCTTTCTCAAAAAACAAACAAACGAACAAACATAATGATGTAATAATAAAAACAATCCTCTCGCCCCCTCTTGACTATGGTATTATTTATGTATCACATTAACAATATAAATAAGTATTGAACTAATCAATAATTTACAAAGTCTAAGCATAATGGGAATGTTCATCAATTGTATTCTAGGTACTAACAAAATATCAAAAAATCAATATACAATCAATAGAAATAATAAACGAATCATTCGAACAAAATAACAACACAACACCATCACCACCAATGATAAGGAGAACAACAATAAATAATAATATAGTAACATTAGAACATTCTTTACACTTGATTTGATCAATAATTAATTGAATAATTTAACAAAACAATAATTTTATGTCTTTTATCAGAAACAAATAAATAAGGAGGGGGGAGAGAGAAGGTAACAAGAAAATTAAATCAATAAAAATCATTAAAGGATCAGTATTTCATTATTTATTTTTTTCGTTGTTGGTTGTGTGGTTGTGGTTGTTATAATCCCTGAGATAAATGTAGTTTCCAAGTAAATAAAAAAAAGAAAACTTTTTCTTTCTTTCTTATCTAACAAATGTTCTAAGTAATGGAGCAGATGTAGGTCTTAATGGTTGTTTATATTTATTTATTCTTCTTTGATACATATGAATATGTTGACGTTCTGAGGCTCTACCACGTTGTAAACTATTATTATTATTATTATTATTCATAGGTAATTGTTCTTCATTATCATGATTATTGATCTGTTCTAAATCATTCGATTGATTGAATATATTCATAGATTCTTCCAATGTATTATCATTACAATCTCTAGTTGAATTCATATCAATCCATTCACTTTGTATAAATTGAATGAATTGTTTTGGTATATCATTCATAATTACAAATTGTTCATAATTAATATATTGTATAAAAGTAATTAATTGTTTAGGTAAATCAATATTATTGATTTTTCTATGAAAATCAATACCACCAATTTGTTTTCTTATTTGATTTCTTGTTATTAATTTTAAACTAAATGGTTTATTCATTAATTGATTACATAATTGATGTAATTGAATTAAACGTTTATAAAATTCATTATATTTATTATTATTATTATTATTATTATTATATTTAATATATAATTTACATAATGGTAAATTTTCAATGAATTCCGAAAACTCTTCTATAGTTGGGATAGTACATTTTAATACAAGTAAATTAATCAATAATAGTATTGATTGTTTTATCATTTTTGGCATCTTACTATTATTATTACCATTACTACTATTATTATTCATCATTACTATTACTGTTATTACTATTATTATTATTACCATTATTATTATTATTACTATTATTATTACTATTACTATTATTATTATTACTATTATTATTACTATTACTATTATTATTATTACTATTATTATTATTACTATTACTATTATTATTATTATTATTATTATGATATAGATCAATATTCGGATGACATAATATACATAATAATATACTAAACCAATTACAATAGGAATATAAATAATCCATACATTCAAATTGTGAATAACCATTTTTAATAAGTTTTTTAATAATCAATAATTCAATAAATGATTGATTATTAATTTTTGTTAATATTAAATGATTATTTATAGATGTGATAGATTGATATAAATATTGATTAAAACTAATTGCTAATAAATTAAATATAATTACTGAATTAATACGATGTATATCAATACCTTTTGTTAATAGATTTGTTAAATGTATATTATAAAATGTTAATAGATTAATATCATTTAAATAATTATCATTGATATATTCATAAATACTAGCAAAGAAATAATCTAATGCAGATTGATATGTATAATGACCATGTGTCCAAAATTTCCGATATGGTAATATATTATTATTATTATGATTATTTGATCGTGAATTCTTTTTACATATACAATCTGTCCAACGACGGCATAATTGTGGACGATTGATATCGATACCATAATAGGATAATAATGGTAAAACATTCCATTGTAAACAATCTATAGCCCATAGAACTGGTGAACATTCTTGATAAAAATAATGATGATGATGATTCATTAAATATGGATAGAATGTATTGAATTGATGTCGTTTCACAATTATTGTTAAATTATTTAATGGTTGTTTTATACGTTTTAATATATGTTCAATTGCTGGAAGATTACCTTTTTGTATGAAATAAGCTAATTTTCGATTGGTTTGTTTAAATAATCCACAACGATGAATATCAATACAAAAACATGTTGACCATATTGGTATAGATCGTTTAATTCTTTTATTGCTCATAGCAACTAAATTTCTTCTTTTTTTTCTCTTTTTAATGTACAATATCGAATAGTAACAATTAAAAAATAAAAAAAATTCTAAAGACTCAGAGACATAGTAACTCCATTACTTAAGATATATGTATTATATCTAATACTAATCATTACAAGGTCAAATCGCCCAATAATTAACCAATCATAAATCAGTTTTTAAAAGAAAAAAAATTTAGTGGGCAACACACATGTGACAATCCGTAAAAAATTCCATAATAAAGGTAGACTATCCATGAATTTATGTAGGATAGACATTCATATGATGAGTGTGTGTGTGTGTTTTTTCTCATTAGATATGTCTGTCCTACACATATATATATCTTTATCAAAACTTATTCTTATTTATTGCTTATAATTAAAAGGTGGGTGGGATCATGATCGATAGGGGGAAGAAAAACTATCGTAAGTTTGCAAGTAAATTAAACGAGTAGTATCTTTCATCAATTGAAATCAGCTGATGAATTATCCTAAATCAAAAAGTAACAAGTAAATCATATATACTCACTTAAGTTTTCAGATAAATATTTTAATTGAGATCATGAACCGATTGATGTTAGACCATCATTGGAAACCTAGAAGTACTGGATGGCCGTTTGGTCCTACTGTGGGACTCCTCAGCAGTGCTTATCCACGATCCCATATGCGGAATTCAAACCCAGGGCCTTTTAATCTTGCGGGCGAATGCTTAACCTGCTGAATTACTGAACTGGCATCCAACAGTGTTAGTATATATACTTACATCGATTCATGAATAGCTGTGCAACCATTCATCTATTGTCTGAGATAGATACCTGTCTCTATTTAACACGGATTGGACTCCACTGGTCACGGCTTTTCATTAGAATTCCAGGAAATCATCTGTGTCCCAGTTCATATTATGCACATGATGATTATTATCGGAATGAGGTTTGTGGAGATTGTAATCATTTTAATAGTTGAATTTATGAGTCGATGTGCGCTGGATGGCCGTTTCATCCTAGTATGGGACTCCCTTGCAGCACGCCGGGTCAGTAGTTTAGAGGTTAGTCGTTTGCATGCGAGACTGAGGGTCATAGATTCGAGTCATGCGTGTGGGATCGTTGACACACATCGCTGAAGAGTCCCATACTATGACGAAACGGCTGTCCACTGCTTCCAAGCTTTCCATGGTGAACTAGCTTACATCGACTCATAAATTCAACCATTAAAATCACTAAAGTCTCCACAAACCTCATAATGATCATAATTTCAGATAAGGGCGAGAAAAACGCCTTTATTTCAAATACATAAAGTGCAAGGTAAACTAAGCGATAAGGAAAGACACCTAGGTGGATCTTATAGTGTCGTGGCTCAAAGAACAGATAATGGCAACCGTCTGTTGCAGCTATGCTCAGATAACCGCCTGTTCCTTGCAAATACTAACTTTAAGCATAAGGAAAAACATCTTTTAACATGGCGACCCCCTAATTCGTCCCAACGTTGGACCCAAATAGATCATATCGCTATCAGCCAGACGTAGGAAAGACGCTGCAAGGAAACCTCTTAGGGGCCTACTTAATGATAGTCAAGCTAAGAGTATATTTCAGGAACAACTAGGAAAACAGTTGGGCAGCCATGTATGTGATGCCCACCCCGAGGCAGTGTGGAATGATATCCGAAAAGCTGTGGAAACAGCCGTGATATCTGCAAGTACGATAAACCGTAAGGTTAGGGAGGGACACTGGATCTCAGCAGCATCTATCGCACTGATAGTATCAGTTCAACTGGCCTTCAGCCACACTTCGGTTTCCCACGATCTCTAGTCAACCTGAATGGCAAGTTAATGTAGGTCCTCCGTCCCTTTACGAAGTTGAAAAAGCCATAGGAAATCTGAAACGAGGGAGAGCAGCAGGCCCTGACAGATTTACTCCTGTTTATGGATGGTGGTCCAGTATTAGCAGTGAGACTAACTGAGGTCTTAGGTAGAATTTGGGAACTGGACGTAATCCCATCTGACTGGTCTCAATCACTGATTGTGCCAGTCTATAAGAAAGGACAAAAGTCCTCTTGTGACAATCACAGAGGAATCAGTTTGACAAATATAATGTCTAAAATATTAGCTTCAATAATACTTCGACGCCTAACCAAAGCTCGCGAAGAACAGACTAGAGAAAATCAGGCTGGTTTTCGACCTGGACGTGGTTGTATAGATCAGATATTCACACTAAGTCAGGTCCTAGAACATATACACACATTCAGACGCCCCACAATGGTAGTGTTTCTCGACCTTAAGGCGGCATTCGACTCTGTTGATCGTGAGGTTCTATGGCAGTGTTTGTCACTGAAAGGAGTACCAAAGAAGTACATTAACCTTATATGACAAGAGTCTTTGACCACTCTAAGCAACAATGCAAGCATGTTCGGGATGCGATTCACCCTCTCAAAATGAAAAATGTTGCTTCAGGATTGGGTTGTATCGACACCCGAACTAATGATAGGGAGTGAAGTAGTTGAGCATGTCGACCGCTTCAATTATCTTCGAAGTCTCATCAGCCCTTGTGGTTTGGTGTGTGACGAAATCTCAGCACGGATACAGAAGGATAGGTGTCTTCGAAATATTCCGTATATCGTGGGACCATCGAGTAAGTAACGCAGTTGTTAGGAAACGGGTACTAGGTAAGGATGGCAAATCAAATGAAGTAGTGAAACTTCATCAGTTGAGATGACTGGGACACGTGTTACGTATGCCATTCACCGACTGCCTCGATGTGCATGTTTTGTTGTATAGGATAGATTAGTGAACTGGCATGTTGGTAGGTGTGACTACCTGGTTGGGGACCGGAGATGATAAACGATGGTTAGATTTCACTGGATTATACTCCTTGAATAACATCTTCAAACCCTGATCTTTCCGATTACTGCTTATACTTTTACTACCTCTACCCTACCACTATGGGATTTGAATCGACAACTGCATCTCTGTGTCAATGTGGTATGGCAACTCGAACTGATGTACGTGTGTACCAAGTTCTACGTTGTTACTGACTGACAGACTGAAAATCAGACCCAGATGAACGTTTGACAGGCAAAAATGTCGAAACACTTATTCAGATTTAAATCCGTTGGTATCGTTTGCTTGTATCTTCCCATTGTTGTTTAGGACTGCAATTGATCAATCTATGGTTGGCATTTGTGTATCCTGAGTTCGAGTTCCGGAGTAAACATCAACTTTGGGATGAAGGTATATCCAGCTGCCAAGTCCCAAATAGGGCGAAACACGCGTCCTGGATTTCACTGCTAGCCACCATCCAACTTTTCAGATTAGTTAGCTTAAACTTATAAAACCCTAACACATTATAAAATTAACCTTTTCGATGATTTTGTTGAAGAGGCGGTAACAATTCAACAGTTAGAATCTGAGAGTCAAGTGCACACTGTCATTCTACCATAACTTTAATTCGTAATTTTTAGTTATCGATACTTTATCTTAATGTTTTTAATTTTTAGTCATTTATTATTACCACTTATATGTGTTTAATTCATTCTTCATCTTTCTCGTACTCTTTGAATGAATAATTATCTTTCACACAACCCTATTTTGGTCCTTGAAATTATGTACTCATTTTCATATTTTTTGACAAACTAAGTGGGGTAATAGGTAAGGTAGATGAGTGATATAAACGCTTGAACTTCAGACTACAAGACATTGATAAATCAGCTGAATACGTCGATTTCTGAATCGTGGTAATACAATATCTGAAAAAGGGCTAACATCATTTTAAATATAGATGTAAATGTTACGTATATTAGGAAATTTTTGTAACACCGTACAACATGGTTAGACTTGCAGATTTACAAATATGTGCTGTTTCTCGTAGATAGTCGAGTATCGATCTGTTTTTGTAATTTGCTACGACTAGTCTGATACATTTTTCTACCTTTGTATACTTTCTTTTTGAGTGCTGTTGTTGGATCCCTTCAACAAGCTGTTCGATTTTCAGTTCATTCAAACTTTGTTCCTTTTTCAGAGCATTAATAAATTTCCATATGCTTGGATGAACAGCACCAATAAATTGGTTAAAGCATCTATCCCACTCCTCCACTTCATTGGTCGTTTTAGGAAGGTCTTCGACAACATAATTGTAGACGTTTCATAATGCGATCTCGAAAACCGGTTGGCTGCATCCTCCACGTCTTGTCGGTCTCTCAATCCATGTGTCTTCAAAATAGTTTGTTATTTCTATGATTTTATTTTCTATGTAGAGTGGTAACTTCATTAGACTGTCAAACGTAACTGTGACATTTGCGACTGGTACGTTAGCTAGCGCTGCCATATGACAGATCTGCAAAGTAAAATTTTCGTCTTTCTTAAAAAGTTGTTGACAGTTCACTGATTGTTGAAGTACCCGTTACGTACATAGACTCAAATAGAACGGTAACTTTGTTGTACGTCATTCAATCGATGTAAGAGATATAAATTTATTTTATATGTCATTACATCCTCATTACAAACACATAATCGTGATTAAGTTTATGACCTCTACATTTTAGGTCACCTGATGTTGCTTAACAAACTCTTGATCTTTTGGGAATCCAATACACACAATACACTTCACTTTATAGATTGTATCATAACTGTTCGAAAAAAACGTCAGAGATAACACGACTAAGGTTACAAAAATGATAATTTGCTACCAAATTCGAAAAATTACAGTATATGATGAAGGTAGATTCTTTATTATGAGTTTTGAAAAGTACTTTTTGACTGATCGTAAGGCAGAGAGGTCAAAGGGTAAATCGAACATATTTCACACCATTAAAAATGTTATCCCATCTTTCGATGATCACCTTTACTAATATATACTCTCTTTCACTAGCCTTTCGCACATGCCATTACCATCGTGAACCATAAAAGTGAAGGTCTCCGAAAAACTCGGTGATTACTTAAACTAAGCCATCGTAATACGCCTGATAAGTTTCGTATGAGACGGTGTGAATATGATAGTAGGGATTTCATTGACCAGCTAAAGTGACACTTTTAATTAGTGAGAAAAGAGTATATGTGAATGGTGGGGAGGAGGTTCTAGAATAAAATTCATATCATTAAAAAATTATTCCCATTGTAAACATGTTACTCATTAAAGTTAGTATAGGTGTACTTTATCTTCCTGTGTGTTGGCTGCGCAAATGTTTAGACACTCTGAACGAAGCAGGTTGTTGTTCTGGGAGACAACTCTTCAAATCAAGTGTCTTTACCACAAAGTAGTGGAGTAACGTAAATAGGTACAATCCCTGAGTCTGAACTATGTTCATATCCCATTCATTCAAACATGAACATGGATCCCATGTACAAAATTGAAATAAGGGTTTTCCAACTCCCTCGGAAAAATCTTCTTATTCATCAACCAAGTTTAAACGTTTAAAAGCACGTTCATCTTCTTACTTTAGTAGAAACAGCAGAGTCACATAAAGGCACTGGATAGGAATTCCTTTACAAACTCCCATATTAGAACATCATGAGAGAACAGAAGTATTCTAAAGCGGACCAAGCGATAATGAAGCAAATTAAAAACATTTGAATAAGATGACC